TCTTCGTTGTTGACCGGTTCCATTGGATCTACAGAACTTGTACAGTAGTTGGCTCCCGCCCACACACCTTCTTTTGAAAGTAAATGTTTGGTTGATAAAACTACGTATCTTGTGGTTAATTCTGCCAAAGAGGAACTGCTTCGTTTTGTAGCGGAACCCAATCACAGCAACCCTAAAGCTTTTCCTCTTTCTGTATTATTGTTGTTGTTGTCAGAAGGGAGGAGGAGGGAGGGGAGGGGAGGAAATGCTGGAGTTTGGAAGAGTGGATTAGTCTGGAGAGAGAGGAAAAAGGAGAGCAGCATAAAAAAGTCAAGAAGAGGAATAACTCGATGTTTTACCAGTCCTAGGAAGGGAGGAAGCAGAAAGAGAGCGAGGAGGTGGCTATACAGTATTCGGAGACAAGGAGGTCTAGAAATACAACTGGTAGGCAGAATTGGATCCCTTAGAATGGACCGTCTTGGTAGACCCTTGAGGGAAGGGTCCCTGGAGGAAGGTGGTCCGGCCAGACCCTATTCCATCAGTTCAGACCCCATGCGCGGGAGACTGGGCTCGACACCCGTGTTGTGGAACCCTCTCTGTGCGGTGAGGAGCAACCCTACGAGAAAGCCGACTGAACGGGGAGAGATTGGGAGCATCTCCGTGTTCAGAGACAATGAACTGGTTAATGGCCTGCCAATGTGATGGCCTGAATCTTCGTTGTTGACCGGTTCCATTGGATCTACAGAACTTGTACAGTAGTTGGCTCCCGCCCACACACCTTCTTTTGAAAGTAAATGTTTGGTTGATAAAACTACGTATCTTGTGGTTAATTCTGCCAAAGAGGAACTGCTTCGTTTTGTAGCGGAACCCAATCACAGCAACCCTAAAGCTTTTCCTCTTTCTGTATTATTGTTGTTGTTGTTGTTTCTACTTACAGGATACCCCATAGTGCTCTGGGTGATTTACAACATAATTAACCAAAGGATATTCCCTGCACCCCACCCACCCCAGCTGGGTACTCAATTTACCAACCTTGGAAGGACAGAAGGTTGAGTCAACCTCGATCCGGCTACCTGAGACTGTCCGGATCAAACTCAGATCACGAGCAGAGTCTTTGGTGCGGTACTGCAGTTTAACCACTGCATCACGAGGCTTCTAAAGAAGTTATATCCTGGTGTGTATTTCAAAGCCTTTTAAAAAAGGGTGGGGCAATACTAAAAGCCTGCAAAGAATGGGTGCTGCCTTATATGATGATGGATCATCTGGCAAAAGAATTTTGGCAATTATGTACTGAATCTTCATTGTTGACCAGTCCCGTTGGACCTACAGAACTTGTACAGTAGTTGGTTCCACCCCCCCACACACACCTTCTTTTGAAAGTAAACATTTGGTTGATAAAACTACGTCTCTTGTGGTTAATTCTGCCACAGAAGAGGAACTGCTTCGTTTTGTATCAGAACCCAATCACAGCAACCCTAAAGCTTTTCCTCTTTCTGTATTATTGTTGGTTCAACTAGGCCATCTAATAAGTCTCATATCCTGCCTCCAATGATCATTTGCCTTCCAGCAGCTGAGCTTCGACCTCTGATATCCAGGG